GGGAGGGGTGTCACTCATTATTTGCAATTCAGGGTATTTTAAATCAAACACGATAGTACATCTCAATTATACTAGTGAAACATATAATTCTTAACCTTATATGTATCGGTACCTGTTACACATTAGCAATCATCGACAATCTTGGAATATGACTTGACAAGTTAGAATTTAGCTCTCAAATATGAAAAATATACCCGACTATGGCAGTTAAAACAAATTCTAAACCATCTAAATTTTCACAAATACCAAAAAAAAATCACAAAATAAATTAACCATCATACTTCATGAATCAAAGTCTTAAAAACAATCAAAATTTCATTATCAAAGTTTTATTCAACACCCAAAGAACCATAGATCTTCCATAATCACAAACAAATAATTAACCTCTTGGGACCACAAATAATCCATATATCAAAATAGAACATATTCAATTCAAATATTCCATAAATACTTTCAAAATAAAAAATACGTATACAAGTTTAGAATATAAACAATCCAAAATAACTTAGAAATTCAGAACATACAAACTCACAAAAAATCAAAATACCCAAAAATTTAAAAGCAATAAACAGTGCGAAATACCGAGTAATTTTCAGACACAATCTCAAAAACTATGCTCACACACCTGATTCACTTACTGGCGATTCTTCTCGTCGTGGATTTGAATGTGTCGGATCTACTCGCACCTGCTCGCTGAATAGTCATCGGAGGAGCTCGTGCCACCACTGTTTGCTACTATTGTGTCCAACTGCCGTAGGGAGGAATGCTGTGACTGGGCTTTCGCGTTGTGGGTTTTGCGCGCCATTGGGTCTATCGTCGCGGTTCGTCTGGGCAATTAGATCTACAGGAGACGAGTTTTGTGCTATGTTCGTTGGGTTGCACCGCCACGCGATCTTCTGGCCATTGTTGGATGTTCGCCTGCCAGAGTGGAGCGAGATAGTGATAGTAGCGTTGGTGATTTATTAGAGAGAATAATATGAAGAAGAGGGGAAGAAGATTGAGATGGAGAAAAAGGGGGAGATGGCTGGATGGTATGAGAGAGGGGGCAAGAAGGAAGAAAATAGGGTTTTCTAGGTGGAGAGAGGGATTGAGGTAATTAAAAGTAAAAACAAAATGATTTTTTTTAATTAGAAATAAATTTTGCTAACGAGAAGACCCATCAATTCTTTCTTTTGTCATGGTACATCTAAATCTAACAGATTTAATTTATAAAACATTACAATCCATTTTTAATTTTTTAATTATTTAATTTTATATTTAAAAAAAATATATTTAATTTTAAATTAAATTAGTAAAAGAAAATTTATTGTAAATAAATAATGGATAATAATATCAAATAAAGTGTAAAGATTTTTTAAAACTTCAATATAAAAATAAAATTGATTGATATTAAATAAAATGATATAGAGTAGAACTAAAACTATTTTAAGCAAGTACTCAAAAAAAACTATTTTAAATAATATAATACAGTTTTAAATTAATTATCAATATATTAATTTATTTTGTATTCAAAATATATATATATATATCATCTTATTCTAGTAATATCTTATGTCTGATTTCGATTTCAGATAAAAGTAAACAACTTGATTTTCGATTTCGATTTCAATTTTAATTTCAAACAAACAATGTTAACATCAAAAAACAATTGACATTGTCTTAAACAAACCAAAATAACTCAAAATAACCACATAACACATGAAAAACTCACAAAATCCATAAACATAAATATCTAAATAAAGAAACTGAGTATTTCGAAAATGGGAAACAAGTGTGTGAAGCCTTGCATAATATTTTTTAAGATTCATCGAAATTTTATGACCTTTCGTGACGTTAAAAAATCATTATAAAGTACCAAAAATCCACTATATGTAAATATGGCAATCGGAAGTCCTTTTGCACCAAAAATGGTCAACACATTTCGTGACGGTTAGAGAAACGTACTTTTTGACGACCATTTCGTAATGGTCAGAGAAATGTCACGAAAAGTCAAAAATTCGGAAAACTCCGTCATTTCCTACAAAAAACGCACCTCAACCTAAACGTTAAGAAAAACCAACTTTTTTTACGACCATTTTGTGACGGTTAGAGAAACATCACGAAAAGTCAAAAATTCGGAGCACTCCGTCATTTCCCACCAAAAACGCTCCTCAACTTAAACGTCACGAAAAACCACTTTTTGACGACCATTTCGTGACGATTAGAGAAACGTCACGAAAAGTCAAAAATTCGGAACACTCCATCATTTCCCACAAAAAACGTGCCTCAACCTTAAAACATCACGAAAAACCAACTTTTTGCCGACCATTTCATGACAGTTCAAATACGTCACGAAAGGTAAAAAGAACCCGGAAATCTCCGTTTTTCCCTCCAAAAATGCATATTTTACCTTTCGTGACGTTTTTTTTAATAATCTTCAACAATATTTTACTGTTTATAAGCGTACAAAAACTCAAAATTCTAGTAGTGGTCAAGCTTGGAGAAAAAGAAAAAGTCAAACCGGGAGAAAAAGAAAAAAAATGATTTACTTGTGCACTTTTCAAAAAGAAAAAAAAATTATCTTTTAAAACTGTTTTATTTACCTTAAAAAAAAAAGAAAACTCCCTAATTTTAAAACAAAATCTATTGATTAAAATCTTTTCTTTTCAAGAACTTATTTATAACATATTTTAAAATGTTTTGCTTTTTATTTTGAAAGGTTTTATTTCTTCAAAACAAACCTTTAAGAAAAAAAAACATTTTATTAAAAAGAAGTATATGTATTGGATTTCGCTGTACCGTTGGGTTCTGCCACCAAAATGCAAAGTTAGTCGATCTGGGTTCACTAGAGTTGGTGTTGGAGGTCATCGAGATCATTTTAATGTAAGTCGTCGGATCTGCTACTCATCGTTTGGTTGGTTTTCAAAGGAGGATGAATGAGAAATGAAAAAAAAAAGGATGACTATGGAAGAGAATAGTGGGATTTGAGGGAGAGAGAAAATGGTGGCCATGGGAGGAAAATTTTGATAAGAGAAACAAAGATAAAAAAAATATATCTCTTTTACTTCTATTATGTGTCTGTCTGTATTCCCCTCTTCCCCTCTTTACGTGCTCTGTGTGTGTGCGCCCGAAGGATAAAAAAGTCACGTGGCTTTGACGATAAAAATAGGGAAGGGAGAATGACATGTTACTTGGAAAAAATAAAAGGAGATAAAAAAAGAGAAAAAAAATCTTTTCATAATGTTTTTTAAAAATAAAATCTTAATTTTACAATAATAATAATAAAAAAAACCAAATTCTTTTCGAAACAGAATCTACTTTTAATATTTAATTTAATTAAAACTTGACATTAAAATTTATGTTATTTTTAACTATAAACTTATGTTATTATTAATCAAGTAATTAAAAATTAAACTTAACAAAAAAATAATAATTAAAAATGAGCCGATCCAAATACGGTGCATCTATATTATTTGTTATATTTGTAAACAAAATTCTGGCTTGAGATTGCATGAATTCAAGATTGAGATTTATCCCATTTAATTTCATTCGACCCAACTATATATAAAACAAACTTGGCCTAGCTCATGCGAAATTTATGCAATCTCAATTGAGATTCAGGCCCGAGAATTGTTCTTATTTAATTTCAACAAACCCAAATTAGAAAAAGGTTGAGATTGCATGAATCCCAACCAAGATTTTTGCAATTTCACCTAGATTCAAGTTTGAGATTTATGTCAATTTTGATTTCAAGAACCCAAACAAGAAAAATCGATCGAAATTCAAGCCCGAGTCCAGATTTACACAATCTCAACGGGATTCAAATTCGAGATTTATGATCATTTTAAATTCAACTAACCCAAATAAAAAAGATTATGTGAGATTAAGGGCGATCTATTTCGATCCCCATATTAATTGTAAATTATTCTTTGGTTTCGTCAAAACACGATCGACTCCCATTTTTCCAACTGTGAAATATCTCTTCCATTTTTTTTTTTTAACGGAAACTTAAGAAATTAGAAGAAAGCGACGAAAATAAAAAAGAAAGTAGAAAAATAATATAAACAAAATAAAAGAGAAGAAGGAAAATTAAGAAAAAAAGGGTATAATAGTCCTGTCATCTAGCTTGAAATTTAAAAAATGCTTTACGATGGATCATAAAAAGATGTTTTGAAAATCTAGGTCATTTAAATAGGTTGAAAACTTTTTTAGGTCATATGTGTTAGTTTCCTCGAGAGTCCTTCGCATTCTCCTTCACAAGTTAAAATACATTTTAAAGATATCAAACATTCTCGTCCAACGCCTCCATCGAAACCACCTCATTCTTCCTTCCTCTCGACGGCCGATAAAAGTGATCCCTGCATTTCAATTAACCCTCTTTTGGAATTGAAAATCTTCAAGAAGGAACAAACCCCAACATTTCCCCAACCCCGACCTTCCATACCTTCCGGAACAAACAACTTTGAACGCTTTCCTTTCTTTACTTCCACTACGATTACACAACACTCTCCCCTAAATGTTAACCTCCAGTTGAAACCAATAAAGCACTCCAATTTCGATCTTGACCCAACCACCTCGAAGCAGTTCTTAACCCTTGCTATCAAACTCAAAGATTTGCCCCTATACAATTCCTCTATCACAATCTTCTTACCACTATCGTCCAGCTGAAAAATAAACCTTTTCCTCACCACCCTCATTTAGAGGGGTAAGCTATTATCCACCCTCATAAACCCTGAGAACACCTTCTAAAATTACGTGGTCTACATACTTTAATATTTTAGTTGCAGAAAATGATGACTCTGAGAAGGGACAAAAAGGCAAAACCCGAGTGAAGCGAGACACAGTTAATAAATAAATAAAATAAATATATATATCATAAATTAATATAATAAACATACATAAAAAATGTCAAAACTATAAAAGATTTTTTTTATTATTTTTTATTTTTTAATAAATAAGGAAAGAGTAAAACATCAAATAAAAGAGAGAAAATAAGTGATTAAAGGAAAAAATGAAAAGAATTAGAGACGAGCGGCAGACTTATTGAATTGATTTGAAGAAATAAAAGAAAGAAGCAGAGGCGAATCCCCTCGAGAGGTCTGAGACCGCAAACAAGGAAGAAGTGGCCGGCGAACACGGAGGCGTTTGCAAAGGAAGAGTCGCCGGCGAAGGATGGAGGTGATGGCAGTGAAGAATGCTTGAAGACGAAGGAGCAGACGACGAACAAGGATGGGTATCGATTTTTAGGGTTCTGTCGTTGTTTTGTAGAATTTGGGAGTTTTCTAAATTGTTAAAAAAAGAAATACCCGAAACTCATCGCTTCAACTTTTACGAGTCATTCAATCCCAAAATTTCACACCAACGTTGGAAAAAAACTCTGCATTTTTTTGGATCATGAGGAGAACTAACCGCTGCATACATACTTTATATTTTGGTTGCAGATGACGATGACTATGAGGATGCTGGTGGTGGCAATCGATTCTTGGGGTTTATGTTTGGAAATGTGGATAATTCTGGTGATCTTGATGCTGATTATCTCGACGAGGTAATAATTTTGCTTCTCGGTGGCATTTTTGTAGAATTAGATTTGTTACAGGACAAACGTATGTAAGCTACGAACTGATTCTAGTAGAAGATTGCTGCACCATAGATTTGGACAAATATAGTTGATATCTTCCACATATGATTTTTGGCAGTCCGAAAATTCTGGATAAAGACTCAACTTGTTACACTTGAAATGATATATTTTTTTTTCAATAATTTGAACTTTCATCTTATTTTCACTTCCTTCTGATCAATATCATATTAATAATGCTGAGGGTATAATGTTGTGTTTTAGGATGCTAAGGAACATCTTGATGCATTGGCTGATAAGCTGGGTTCAACTTTGACAGATATCGATGTAAGAAAACTTTTATGATCCTGAATATTATATTGTTTTCATTTGGTTTTGGGGTCTCCTTATGTAGCTTTTTAGTTTGTATATAATCTCTCATTTCTCCTCGATAACATACATGATACAAATACTATATCTATTTGCGTTTGATAAGTTCTTACTCCCTTCCTACCTTTTTCTTTGATACCTGAAAATTTTCAAATTTTTCAGTTGTCAACGAAGTCAGCAAAAACACCATCGGACGCTGTTGAACCAGGTGAAGTTGTATTCATGTGAAAATTTACCTAGTAGTCTTCCCGAGTTTTGTTTTTGTGTTTATGCCTTTATTTCAAATACATTTTTTTGACACTATTACATGCACAATTTTATGATCATTAGAATGAAAGTTATTTATTTATTTATTTTTAAAACAAGAAAGAACTTTTCATTGATATAGATATATGAAAAGGAGAAAAAGTTCAAGGATACAAACTCCCGAAAGAGTGAGAGAAAGAAAAAATGTGAAAGAGAACAGAAAAGAGTCTCAACAAGGAGCAAGCATTACAGAGAAAATAAGAACAATAAAAATCAAAGACCATGACATAAGAGACCAAAAAGCTTCATAGATGAATCTTGAATCATAAGAGAAACCAAAGCCCTTCAATCAACAAATCTTGACCGCCAAAGGAATTGAAAATCTACTTGGACGAAGTGGGAATTGAAGGTGGAGAATCTTCTAAATCAATCTTCTATTCCTTCAAATAATATTTAGTAATCTGAAACATCTTTTCGAGATAAGAGACATAAAGGCGAGCTTTTTCTTCACGAATTCTGGCTAACCCTTCTTTCTGAGAAGTGATATAATCATCCAATTGAGAAGGAGGCACACTAAAAAGTAACTTGAGAGTTAAGAGAGAAGAAGGCCTACTTCCAAAGTAACAAAGATTGTGGATCGAACTAGAAGATTTGGAAGGGAGTAGAAGAGAACCCAAAGGAATTGCCGTGAAAGAAGGCTGTGAATTCAAAAAGACGAAAGTCTCAACACCAAATAGAAGCCATTAAATAACTGAACTGAGAAGAACAGCAGTCAACCATCTACTTTTTCTAAAAGGGTCTTCAATTTCAAAGGCCCAAAACTTTGTGGTGACCCTTCGAATACTGAGAAAAAACCAGATATTCTAAAATCAATATTCCACCTATCAGGAATATTGATGTTCCCACCTATCAGGAACATCAATATTCCACCAAAATCGAAGGGAAGATTTGAAAGACGGGTGAGAGAGCACATATTCTAAAACCTAGGGGCAAGGACTCTAGTTAGGAGAACCAGAATCCAGACAGATTGGCCATGGTTGAAAGTGACCCTAGGACCTAGGACATGATTAACAGTCAAGAAAGAGTCCATCCTCGACTTGTTTGACCTGCAAATAATAGAACAGTTTGGGATACTATAAGTTTTGGGGTTATGTTTTGGTCCTTGAGAATGTAATAATTACCTAATTGCTACTAGAGGTCCTAGGATAATATTCCTGTGTGTGTTTTTACTCCTGGTTTAGTCTTATATGAGGATTTAAAAGACAGAAGTATAGAAGCTTCACCTTGAGTACTTCATCTTGATGATGTATATTTTATTATTTAGTTCATTCTGGTTTCTTATGCAAGAATTAAGTAATAATTTTAAACTTCATGCTAGATAGTTACAATCCACTAAGACAAATGATTTTTCTTGGCCAACCTGATGTAACCTAGGGTCTATTTAAATATTTGAGTCTTTATTCAACACCGAACTTAAAATAATCTTTGTAAAGCATGACACCCCATCTTATAGGCTATCTGCTGACTAACTGAACCAATTAGTAACCATACTAATTAAGACACTAACGGTAAGCTACTTACCTAATCAAATAAGTGGCATACTAGGGCAACATGGACTCTTAAAACCCCTAATCAGTAACAGGTGAACAGCTCACGCTATATCATATCCATGGGGCAGCATTCAAGCATATAGGATTATATAGTCTTGGTGTATGTTTTAAGTATGCTGTTCACCTGTACACTGCCATTGTTATCTGACTTTCTTTGATTGGGCTGGTGGGTTTTGTTTGGGTATTTGTGTTCTCAGACTATGATGCAAAGGCTGAAGACGCAGTTGATTATGAAGATATTGATGAAGAGTACGATGGTCCAGAGATTGAAGCTGCTGGTGAGGAAGATCATTTATTGCCAAAAAAGGAATATTTTTCTACTGAAGTTTCTTTGGCTACGCTGGAGCCCACAGTTTCTGTATTTGATGATGAAGACTATGATGAGGACTTTGAAAAGGTGCATGATGTTATAAATAGCAGTGTCGAAGCTCGAACTACCCATGCGTCAGGTATAGTATCTCTCATCAGTCTCTACATTATTGCTAACATACTTTAACCTGCTACTGAAGAAGCATCCCATGCAGCTAGAAGTTTTCTAATTGTGTTCTTTTTGGTTTTCACGATGGTTTTCTCTTTCCTTTTTTTTTTCTCTTTCAATTTTCTTTATTACAGAATGGATTTTGAGTTGAGTTAACTAGTTGTACATTTGCCGTGCCTGGTACTTTGTCTTTCCATTGGTGGGAGTTTTTTTAGTACAATTATCATTTTCTTATTTTACAAGATTGGATTATAACTTACAAAAGCTAAATCTTTGTTTACTCTTTAAGATTGTCCTATTTCTTATGCTATTTTCTCCCAAAATTTTTTTTCTGTGATGAAAGGGTATTTTATGGTATTCATATAAATAGAAAGGCTTTTTTGGTGAGCTTTTCTGGAATATATAGTCAATTTTGAATTATGAAGTTGGGTGTGTGTTTCTTCTTTGGAATGGTAAGTAGTAATGGTGTTTATAGCATTTGCATTAACAGTTATATGGTTGAATGAATTTGGTGAAAGTGCCATAAACTTCTTAGTGGTTCTAGTTTCTTTCTTAAGGGTTTAATAGATCAACTTTTAGTAGATTACAGTCATGAAAATTTGACAATCTCTCACCAATAAGCCTTTCAAAATGTTGTGTATACTGTATAGGCATTCTTCATAGTCTCAATGAAAGTAGGTCTTTCATCCAATAAAAAATGTTCCGTAGTTTGCGATGAGCTCAGTGCCATATTAACCATGTTAGAAATATGAGTTCAGTGCATATTATGGCAGATAAGGAAGGATGACGATCCTTGATTGGTTAATAAGGCTTTCCTCTACAAAGGCCATCGGGTAGCCATTTTAAAACAATTGGATGCTATTAAGGCTAGATCCTTATATCAATTCGGGAATGGTAATATTGCTAGCTTCTGGCATAATTTTGTTTGGCGGGAAAGCTGTCTCCCATATGCTGTCCAATATTGCCCTCTCCACCAGAGAGGACAAATGGATTTAGGAATGCAATCCATCAAAGAGCTTCTCGGTTAAATCTATGGTCAAAGAGCTGATTAACAAGTTGACTCCCATTCAGTGTTATTGAGGCGCACTCGGGTGCTCGCCTCAGGCAAGAGGCGAGGTGATTTTGCCTAGGTGCGCCTTGCAAGGTGCCCAAGGCGAGCGCCAATCGGGCGCTCACCTTAGTGCGCCTCGATGTGCCTCTCGCCTGAGGCTAGGCGATTGCCTTATTGAAGCGAGGCGATCTGCTTTATTTTATTTATTTTTAATGTGTTTTTTTTTTTAAAAGAACCTTTCTCCCTTGCGAAATACCTCAGTCCACAAACCCTAATCATTCTCTCTGCCTCTCGACATTCACCTTCACTACCCTCAATCTCCGGCCATCGCTCGCTCCCGTCTCCAACTAAACTTATTAAATTTAGTTGTTTTATGCATCTGGTTGACATTTATTATGACACTATTTTGGTATTAATTTTTTAAACTATGTTTACTATATAAATTTATGCATTATATATAAATTTTATTTATTTATTAAGGTGTGCCTCGCTTCACTCGGGCGTCGCCTTTGTATCGCCTCTCGCCTCAAGATGATCAAAGGGCTTGTCGCCTTGAGGTGTGCCTTACGCCTCGAAAAACCACACTTTTATTTTTTGTTGTTGGGAACTTAGCCATGCGTCCATCATCACACTAGACGTTGTGCAAAGGAGGCTCCCAAACATGGACATCTCTCATATGGCTGTATCGTGTGTAGTAAAAGTGCAGAGCCATTCATGAATCACGATAAACTCAACATCCTCCTTAATGCTTTTTTTGGTTGGTCATGGGTTTAACTTATCAAAGCTTTCTTGAAATCTTTTTTTGTTTGTTTGTTGATATCTGTGAGTGTCCGGGCCAGCTTTATTACGCGCACCTGGACTAATCTCACGGGGCAACTGCCTGATCGTACAACATTTTGTGCCGGGAAACGCATAGGAATTACTAATTTCTAAGATAGGTGTTCTTGAAATCTGTTTTTGCAAAGGCTCTTAGTTATTGTAAATCCTTTTAATATCCTTCTAAAAATTTTGATGTAGTTAAGTAGCTGCTTCATAGCTTTTCTTGTTTATTAGCTACTGTTATAGCTTTTATTTTAGTAGCTTTACTTTTACTGCACAGTAACAATAGTTACTCATGTAATTCTTATGCTTGAAACCTCTATAAATAGGTTTCAGCGTTTTAATGAAGAGGCATTGAATCATTTCTTAAAAACCTTGTGAGGTACTGCATCAAATTGGTATTAGAGCACCAAGATTCTTGGGCTCTTTTTTGACATGGCAAGCAAGAAAGCTCCCACCAATGTCGTCGTAGGAGACTCTTCTCTTGTCAAGAAAGAGGCGGATCAAACCACTGCCCTCTCACCACGAGCCACAACCAAACGTTTGCCTTCGATTGAAGGAGCTATGGAAGATATCAAAAGGAATGTAGGTGAGATATGACAACTTTTGAATAAGATAGCTTGGCGACTCGAAGATTCAAACTTGCAACAAAATGAATCAAGAATGGATCAAGAAGAACAACAAAGAGGACAGGGTATTAAAATTCTTCAACACCAACGGAGAAGATTTCAAGAACCTGTTTTTGCACCAAGAATTCTACAAGAACTGCAAGCTAATCGGCAAGAATCCAATCGAAATCCTTTGTTAAGGAGAGATGAAATACATCTAGATTCTTCAATTAACCATCATGGGATGACTTAAATGGTCAATGAGGGCCAATGTTAATAGCAAAGGACTTAAAGGGAATGAGTTCAAATCATGGTGGCTACCTATCTAGGATTTAATATCCTACAAGTTATCTTGTCAGCCAAATGTAGTAGGGTCAGGCGGTTGGCCCGTGATTAGTGGTGGTGTGCGCAAGCTGGTCCGGACACACGGATTTCATAAAAAAAAAATAATCTAGATTCTTCAAGTGAGGAAGATGAGATCCTTAATTTGGGAGAAGATAGACAATTGATTAGATCCAACCAGCAGCAATTTTATGATACAAAAGACATTAATCTTCATCAAGAACAACAAAAGCAACCTATATTAACAACAAGACAACACCAGGAATAGGGGAACCAGTCCACAGAAAATATTATGAATTTTCTCCACCACGATAGATCTTGCATTCAAGAATCCAACTTTTCTAGCAAAGAAGAAGAGTTTTTCTATGGGTTTGTTGTAGATTATTTTGATGACCCTAAAGAAGATTCTCATAGGAGTGAAAAGATTGAAGGAGATGAAGGTTCTCCTATTGAACTTCAAGAACATGGCAAGTAGACTTCAAGAATGTAGATCCAAGAAGGAGAAAGATTCAATGTGTGGGAAAGTTGAGAACCAAACTCATTCGGCCAAGACAATTTCTAGTTATTCCAAGAAAATTTTGAGAAGTATTGGGATGAAGAATAAAGTGGGAAGTTTTGAGAAGGATCCCAAGGAAAAGAATGTTGATGATTTGGAACACACTTGTATCAAAAAACTATTGCATCTGGGATTTAATTCAGTTTGGTCACTTTATCGTTGTTTTGATGAGTTAAAAAAGACATTTTCGGTTGGAGTATTTTTTTAACCACAAGAAGAAGCAAGTTTCTAGTTTGAGGATTGTTCACCGCCTTCTAACTTCACTGCTTTTAAACTCAAGGACGAGTTTCATTTTGGGGTCGGGGAAATTGATGTAGTTAAGTAGCTGCTTCATAGCTTTTCTCGTTTATTAGCTACTGTTATAGCTTTTATTTTAGTAGCTTTACTTGTACTGCACAGTAACAATAGTTACTCATGTGAGGTGCTGAATCATTTCTATAAATAGGTTTCAGCCTTTTAAGGAAGAGGCATTGAATCATTTCTTAAAAAACCTTGTGAGGTGCTGCATCAAGTTTCCTCATCTCCGAGTCCAGTCCCTTGATTTGGTCCCTGTGGTTTTTGGGTGCACTGCTTTTTTCCATATCCTTTTTTATTTTTTTTTATTTTAAGAAACAAACTTTTCATTATAGATGATTTGGAAGAAAAATGTTCAAGGATACAAACTCCCAAAGGAAGTGAAAAAGGAAAATAGAGCTAAATAAAAAACAAATACCAAACGAGCAAAAGGAAAAGGGTCTAGAATGAGCAAAAGGATATAATAAATCTATCTTTCCTGAAAGGTTATTAACAATAATGCCCTATTGTGGTACCTCATGTTGATGATTCAGACTCGGCAATCGCGGTAAGGAAAAGGGTCTAAAGGTGTACCACACACCCTATTGGGAAATATGTGTCATATGATGGTTTATCGAAGTATTATCGAGCTTATTGTTGATTGTGTTCAAGTATCAGCCAACATCCATGAAACTCTTAAGCATCCTAGTAAGAGAAAAGCAGTCCAACATGAGATCGACACACTTGAAAAAATGGCAGATGGGTAGTGACAAATTTGCCCAGTGGGATGCAAGTGGATTTTAACTCTAAAGTATAAGAGAAATGGGAGCATTGAAAGATTGAAGGCTAGACTTGTTTCTCGAGGATTCACTCAATCCTATGGGATTACTACTAGGAAACATTTACTTTGGTAACTAAACTCAACACTATAAGGATAATCTTATCTCTAGCTGCCAATCTTGATTGGGGTCTTCAATAGTTAGACAGTAAAAATGCCTTCTTGAATGGCAATTTCAATTTGGAAGAAGAGGATTACATGGATATTCCTCCTTGTTGTACGGGGAACTTTAATCCCACATAGGTATGCAAGCTTAAGAAATTGCTCTACAGATTGAAGTAGTCTCCTTGTGTATGGTTCAGTAGTTTTGCAACTTTTATTAGAGCCTTAGATATTCTCGGTGCCAATTAGATCATACTTTGTTCGTCGAAAGGAGATTAGAAACTCAAATTGCTCTCTTAATAGTATATGTTGATGATATTATTCTTTTAGGAGATGATGAAACAAAATTGCAGATGTTAAAGAATCACTTTTCCCAATAATTTAAGGTCAAGGATGTAGGGGTTCTCAAATATTTCTAGGTACGGAGGTTGCTCAGTCTCATAAAGGTTCTTTTTGTCTCGCAAAGAAAATTTGTGCTATATCTTCTTGAAGAAACTGACATGCTTGGGTGCAACCAACTGATTCTCCTGTGGTCTCATGAGCAAAACTTGGCAACTTTAGTATAAGTAAAGTAGCTGGAGTAGTTATAAGTTAGGTTGTTAGCTCACAACTTAGCTTTAAATGATCATTGTAAAAAAGCAAGGGTCCTTTAGGGTTGAGCTGGTAGAGCTTGCTTTTGGAGTATGTGGAAGGAAAGAAATCAAAGAGTGTTCAATGACACTTCTCACCTTTTTGAAAATTTTTGTAAAAATTTACAAATTAATACGGCCTCTTGGTGCCTTACTTACAGGAGATTTTTTTTTGTAATTACAGTCAAGCTTCTCTTTCACGAGATCGGCAAGCTGTAATGTGGTAGCTTTTTTGGTTAGGGCCTCCTCGGCCCTCGCCCGTAGGTTGTTCTCCCCTTTTTGGTTATTATTTATATTATATTTTGTCTCTTATCAAAAAAATAAAATAAAAGACCGTTCGTGAAAACAACCAGCAGTGGCAGTTCTCCCTTAACCCAATAAAATAGGGGATTGTATGATATTTTCAGATGATGAATAATAATTGAACTTTTCTCTATTTGAGTCTTCACCATGGACTCAATCACGAGCGCATGTCAATTCACAGGAATAAATACCAATGCCTTTTCGGGCGGCTCAACTATCTTTCTCATACATTTCCAGTCTACATAAAAGCTGTCCAGGTTACTGTTTGTTTGTATAAGGTAATCTTGTAAAATGGAGAAGTCAAAGGCATTTGTGGTTGCAAGAAGTAGTGCTGAGGCAAAATTTACAACTTT